AAAAAAAAAAAAAAAAAAAAGTTTGAAGAAATATAAAAGCTTCAAGGCCTCCTAATGCTATATTTAAATTTAGACCTCAGTTTTCACATTTGTGAGGTAGGAACAATTACCCCATCTTCTCTATCTTACTTGACTCTAGCTTACCCAGTATCTCCTGGGCCTCTGGGCTGAAGCAGGACCCTGTGACCTCTTGATCTGTCCCCAGGACATCTTAAAGTCCGGAAACTGCAGATTTGATAGAAAAAAATCAGCATAAGAGGAAACTGACAGCTTGAAGCTGCCCCAGAGGAAACTGGTTAAGATAGAGATAACAGCAAAAAAGGTGAGAAGAAAGTAAAAATAACATGTCAAAAGAAAAGAAAGAAAAAACTCCAGCAACTATGGCTAGTAATGTCACTAAGAATAATTTCTATGAAAATAAAAAAAATTCATCAGCATCTCATGGAACCATATGGAGATTTGTTTTAGGAATTGAAGGACTAAAGTCAGGTGTAGTGGTGCATGCTTGTAATTCCAGCACTTGGGAGGCTGAGGCAGGAAGATTGCCACAAGTTCAAGGCAAGCCTGAACTACACAGCTAAGACTCTGCCTCAAACAAAACAAAACCAAAAGTTAAAAAAACAAAACAAAACAACCAACCAAACAACAACAAAAAAATGGAATTGAAGGACTTAGTGGCATTGCCCCTGAAAAAGAGGATCCAGATGACACGCCACCAATACAGTGTGTTTCCCATAACATTTCTCAGATTCCCTAAGTCAAAGTCTCCTGTGGTCAGCTGGACCCCAAGGCTGACGAGTCCAGGCAGCCAGATGGGACATCCGGCACTCACTGTGGTGATGAACCTGTACAGCGGCTGCCTTCTCTCCGTGTACTTCACCGTGATGGGACTGAGGTCGTAGCGGAACCAAATGGCAGGGATGATGCGGCCTGTGTGACTGTAGGCGACATACTCCTGGGGTGGAAGAGGGGAGGGAGAATCTTGTCAGACTCAGAAGCACAGACCAGGTCTCATGGGGTCGCAGAGCAGCCTGGGAGCAAGGGCTTTCTCCCTCTCTCCCCACGGCACCAGGCTCCACTGCCTCCCCCACACCCCTCTGGCTGGTACCCCCAATGCTGCCCTCAGCATCTGGACGGGTATCACCATTGGAGGCATCATCCACCTCTACAGCCACTGGGAAATGGACCGTGTGGCTCAGAGGCAGCACTGGAATCAAAATGCGAATGTGAAAGCAGAGATGTGAGAGGAAAAATGCACCTTCGGGCTCAGTCTTGCGTAAAAGCGAATTTCCCCTGGGCCACGTCAAGTTCATTTATTTACTCAGCACTGGTATGCTGAGGACCTCTGTCGCTCTGGCTGCTGGGGTCCCTGAGGTGAGCAAGCCCCTTTCCCAGAGGAGGCAGCCACAAAAACATCCCCGACACTTTGACCTCACACATGTGGGACAGAGGGACGTGAACAGAATGAGTGGCCCATGCTCCCTAGGGGAATCCGGAAGACCTCTCAAGGAGGGGACATTCTGAGCCACACACAGGAGTACGTGTGCGTGTGTGCACGTGTGCACAGGTATGTGTATGAAGAGCGCAAAGGCCTTAGGGGAGCAAGGCAGCATCATCAAAAGAGGGACAACACGCAGAACTGGAAGGCAGGACCCCACCCTGCCACAGGCTTCCTGAGAATTTGTGCTCCAGGGCTGAAGGATGCTGATCAGGGCTTTGTTTTCCCCATCTCACCACAAAGGGTTTCTGCAGGAGGACCCACAGAATCCCTCCAATTTGGGCACTTTGGGGTGCAGAACATCTCTGGCCTATGCTCACATTTTAAAATTTAAAAAAAAATCCTTCGGGGGTGAACCCAGGGCCTGGAGCAGGCTGAGCAAGTGCTGTACCCCTGAGTCAAGCACCCAGCTCCTGTTCTCGCTTGTGTGCAGAGATGGACACTGGGGTCCAAATGCTGGGCCTGAGCCGCTCTGAAGCCCTGAGCTCCCTGCTGGATGCCAGCCCTGATCACAGGAGAAGCTGAGCAGGCTGTTCCGGCCTTGAGGAAGGAGCAGAGAAACATCAGCTTTCTCCAGGGAGAGCTGGGGGAGCAGGGTGACTATCTGGGTCACGGCCCTGAACAGAGGAACAGAGAAAAAGAAAACAGCAGCAGTGCATGTGTGTGTCATTTACCCAAAGTATCTTTGCGGGCTAAGCATTTTTGAAAATATTGCCTACTTTGACAGCAATCTTAGGAAGGGGGACCCATCAGCAGTTTAAAAGTGAGGCAAACTGAAGGGCTTACGTGATGTGTCTCAGGTCAGGTAGCATAGCTAGATGACTAAGCTGGGGTGAACTGGGCTAGAGCTCACGTTCTTTCTGCTCAGACACATTTGTGTTCTCTTAGAGGCTGCCTGCTGTCAGCACTTGAGGTCAACAAGGAGCTGCCGCAGTCTGAATGTGGCATCCAAAGTCATATATTAGTGGCATTTGGAGATGGGGCCTTGGGAAGTAAATGGGGTTATGAGATCATGAAGGTGGGACCCCCGAGAAGGCATCGGTGTGTGAGAGAGACCCAGGCGGGCACACTTGTTCGGTCTGGCCACACAATGCCCTTGACTATGCCGTGATGCGGTACGAAGCCCTGACTGGACGTCTGGCCTCCACAGCCCCTGCAGATGGAGTGACTGGCGTATGCAGGAGATGAGGCTCTGCAGCCCTTCTCAGACCTCATCCTAATCCCCACTGGCCACCTCAAGGGGCTTGATGGACCAATGTGTAAAACAGGGCTGACACTCCCAGTATCAGAGCTGTCACGGTGACTGAGAAAGATGGTGGAGGCAGAGAGTTCAGCATATCTAGCCTGTGAGAAGTACCCAATGGCAGCTGCTGCTCCTCTTATTCTGGGTAACTGAGCTAAACAGTGGGCTTGGGCAGCCCTGGAACAGAGTCTAAGGGAGGCATTTCAGCCAATAGGCTTCAGGTACTCACATCCCATCAGTAGGGTCATCTCTGCTTGAAAATCTCCCCCTTTAAGTCTTCCTATTTCATTGGCTCTGATCACCCTCTGCTTTCCGCCAAGACCTGCCTGCTTCTCCATGACCTTGTACGTTGGGGTCCTGGGATGCCCCTGAGGTTCACTGCCTATTAATCCACAGCTGTCCTAGAGTGATTCATCAGCCTCCTGATTTTGGATAAAGGGTTCATGTCCCAAGAGCATCTGTTGTGTGCCGATTAACTGAGTCCTGAGTCTGAAGGACCAGCACTGATGTAGGACCTTTGAGGCATTTACAAGCCTGGAATCTCTGGGGAAAGCCCCCCTCCCAACTGATCTTTCTCAACAGATCACATCCTGGTTAGACAGCCCCCCACCCCAACTCTGAGACTGCCGTGTGGCAAGGATTGGGCCTTCATTTATTTATTTATTTATTTTTTGGTACCGGGGATTGAACTCAGGAACTTACGCTTGAGAGGCAGGCAACGGCACCACTGAGCTAAATCCCCGGCCCAAGGATTGGGTCTTCCATCTTTATTCAGAGTAACAGCCTATAGAGACAAATCCTCCTAGGAGAGCCCAGAAAGGCAGCGGCAGAAATAGACTGGGGAGTAGCTGTCGGTCTCTACTTCTCTGCACCAGCAGAGGGCGCAGTAGCCAGCCAACGCCCGCCCACGCACCTTGTTGGCCACCGTGTACTGGTAGGAATACCGCTGCTTGCCACTCTTGTCCTCGTAAACCGTGGGCACGATCTTCAGGATGTAGTCGTGGGAGGCGAGGGCTGCAGGAAGCACACAGCACAGTCAGCAGGGGGATAGGCCCTGCCCGGCCAACAGCTGCTATTTCAGTCTTCATCCCAAACCCTCCTGCTTGGCAAGGGGCTCTTTCCCCATTTCACCACCAGACGGCCCCTCTCCTCCACTACACACACTATGCAAAGTGTGCAAACACCCAAATGTCCATGAGGCAGGCATGAAGGAGTAGATGCCTGGAGGGGACAGTCCCCAGAAGGTGCTGGCGAGTGTAAAGAACCACATTACAGACCAGGGTGTACAGCACGTTTCCATGAACCAAAGCTCTCTCCTGTGTGTGTGCAACAGAATCTAGAACCAACTCCAGGGAACTCTAAACAGCTTTGATCTCCAGGGAGGAAGGCAGGAGTTGAGAAAGATCTCATTTTACTGCGGCTATTGGTTTGAACAGTCTTACTTTAAAAGACAAACGGTTTCAGTTTTAAGAAGAGAACCCATCAACCAGAAACAATTATCTATGAGAACCTAATTTCTTTCCCTTTATCAATGAATGGCAGATCAGGTCTCCCTCACCTCCCCTGCAACGCGCCAACATAATTCTCTTTCACCCACTTTCCCATCCAGCCAGGATGGGGGGTGAGGGACTGAGGGCCAGGACCAGGCCTGACTCATCTCCCTGTCCCCAGAGCCCTCACAGGGCCTGGTACGGCATGGACGGTGGCAAATGCTTGCTAGATGAATGAACGGATGGGAGGATGACTGGATAAAGCATGAATGGAAGAACAGATGAATCAGCTTCTGATAAGCATGAAGTAACTGGAACCAAGCCCTGGGCTGCAAGTGGCTGGCCCACAGCTGCCAGATCTCCCGGGACAGGTATGGATTCTCTTGGGCCTTCTGAGATGCTGGAGGACCATTGGTTTATTGCCTTCTAGAACCTTGAGTTGGAGACCACAGAGCTAAAACATAAAAATTGAGTCCTGCGGGTTCTAATCCTGGTCTCAGCATCGAGTCAGTGCTGTTCTTAGACTCATGCTTAAGAGGCGTGGGGATGGAGAAAACATACCTGGTCCTAATACGATCCCTCCTGCCTCTTCCTGCCTCTGTTGCCTCTTAAGGAAAAGACAGGGCTTCTGAAATTGAGTTGATTCCTCAAAAATCTAGCAATAGTGCTGCAGCCTCAAAGCTAAGCCCAGAAGACTTCAAGGCTCCTGGTTCAATCCAGAGGCCAGAGCACAAGGGTTCTCTGTCGTAGATCCGGGCATCCCTGTGGAGTTCCCCTCAATGGGTCTGGGATAAGGCTCAGCCGCTGCATTTCCACCAGGGGTACAAGGACCACTCTTAACATGGTGTCTCTGATGGTGTCACATATGGTTGAAACTTGAAGGAATGGATGAAAAAGTGACTGCCTTACCAAAAATCACACCGGTAAGATTTTTGTTGTAATTTGTACAGAACACATGTAATGAAAAAGGAAAAAAAAAAAAGCACCCTTAAATCCATCACCCCCGGAAAATTGGTGCACATTCTTACTATAACCTGCCAGACATATGTTTATACATATGCTTTCCTCTAGTAGGATTCTACTGTAACTTCTTCTAAGGATTGGATGTCATGGACATGTTTTTAAGTCCATGGTATAGAGTGGAAGCTCCTTGGAGAGTCTGTTTCATTTTCCTCCGGGCCCCCAGAACTGTGCACAGTGCCTAGCACACAGGAGGTGCCAAGCATCTGGTGCCCGACTGCCAGTGTGGTCCTGCACATCAGTGTGAGCAGCTGCACATGTTCCATGATGCGGGCACATACGACATACTTAGCCAACTTCCTTGATGGCACTGACGTGGTTCCTCATTTTCACTGTCGTAAACAATGACCCAGTGAGCGTTATTTTCCTATATCTTTGTTCTCTCTCTCTCTCTCTCTCTCTCTCTCTCTCTCTCTCTGTCTCTCTCTTGTTTTTTTGGTACCGGGAATCAAACTAGGGTCCTTGCACTTGCAAGGCAGGCAGCAGGACCACTGAGCTAAAGCCCTGGCCTCTTCACACACTCTCTTGATTATTTCCTTAGCTTATTCTCTGACCACTAGAACTGATGACTCAAAGGGCGGTGACCATTGTTTAAAGCCGTTGTTGCCAGCTGCCCAGCGGAGACCCAGCATTAGCTGATACCCAGAGGGACCCCTGATTAGCTGACTGATCCAAGAGGCTGCTGGCTCCACTCTGGCCCAGGCAGGCTCGCATTCCCCACATTCCCTCTTCTTTCCCTCCCAACGTCTTAGTATGGAGCAATACAAACCCAAAGGGCATGGAATGAGATGATAAATCCCCACATACTCGTTTCCCAGCTTCAGCAGTTAACACAAGGCCAATCATTTGTCTCGCCCTCACTACTGATTTGACTTGGGTGGGGGGTACTGGGGATTGAACTCGGGTCCTTGCGCTTGCCAGGCAGGCGACAGAACCACTGAGCTAAATCCCCAGGCCATCGCCCTCACTACTGAGATGAGGTTTGAGTCTGCATTTTTCCCCCATGTTGGAGATTGAACCCAGGGCTTTGCAGATGCTGGGGCAAGTGTTCTGCAAGTGTTTCACACCCAGCTGCACTCTTCTTAATAGAAGCTGCATTTTACAGCCACCAGCATGTATGTGCATCTGAACAAGCACACTTGTTTCAATTCCATTTGCACTATTTAGGACCAGGTGGAGCACAGAACACAGTTCCATGTGAGAAAGGGTCACCGTAGCTCTGCCTGGGAGTTTTGTTCCTGAAGGAAGTTGCTGTCGACCCAAAGAGAACGGCTAACACCAAGCACTCACCAGTGAGTGAAGATCCATGCACTAATCCCTTTCCATGTGGTTCACTAACCCTTGTGACAAGGACTCTCCCCACCTTACAGACGCAGAAACTGAGGCTCAGTGTTAAAAGGCTTTCCTGAGGCTCCAGGGCCAGGAGACAGGAGGCAGACTCTGGAGTCTGAGGTCCCCTCCACACTGCCCTGCCATCCAGCTTCCGCTCCTCCACAGGGGCCCTCACTCTGATCTGCTAGACACTGGGCAACGGGCTGCGCCCCGGGGACAAAGGAGTGGGTAGGCAGAGTCCCTGAGCTCATAAAGCTTCTGTTCTAGTTGGAGCAATGGCCAGGAACAACAGAAAACTGAAAGAACGGGATCACTGCCAAGAGTGGCACACATCAGGTGGAAAAACAGGCATGTTATTAGGAGGGGGCATTGCTTTAGACAGTGCGGCCCGGGGCCTCTCTGAGGTGGTGGCATTCGAGCTCAGACCTGGGGGCAGGGGACGTGTAAAGGTCCAGCAGGAGGATTGAGCTCAGAAGCTGAGGAAATGAAAGCCAGCCCTGCCTTGGCTGTCACTAGCCTGATCTCATACGCCTTTCCTTCTATGTCACGCTGAGATGGCTTCCGTCATTAGCTCAGAGCAGGCAAGATCCTCTGTGGCCACATCCTCTCTGGGCTCCCACACCCTATGCTTCATTCTCTTCCAGTAAGGGGCAGCCTAAGGGTCCATCCTAGCTGCAAGCACAGGCAGATGGCCACTCTGGAACATGCTGCCCTAACATGACAGTGACAGTGACTGCCCTACACAGACAGACTCCTGACCTCTACTGCAACTGTAAACAGACCTCTGCATAACAAGGAGGCACTGTCATGGGAAGGACTGTAAGGCAGCATGGGTGGACCCACATTCAGATGGACAGCAAGCGGGCAGTGTCCAGAGCAAATGGCACACATGCCAGGTGTGATGGTGCATGCCTATCATCCCAGCACTTGGGAGGCTGAGGCAGGAGGATCACTGCGAAGGGAGTTCAAGGCCAGCCTGGACTACATAGCAAGACCCTGACTCAAAAAATACAACAAGCAAACAAAAAAAACCCAGAGCAAACAGCACACGTATCTGAGGCATTTCTGTGATGACAAAAAAACTGGAGACAACCGACATCCTGATCATGAACAGATGCCTTTAAGAAGAGGGCTGGGGATTTAGCTCAGCTGTGCCACCACCTGCCTCACCAGTGCAAGGTCCTGAGTTCAATCCCGGCACACACATACACACACAAAAAAGATAAAAGGAAGTAGGCAGAGTGGCGAGGTGGGCAAATCTGCTTCCTTTATGGTTGGCGAGTACACAGATGGTGGTTATGTAACAATGCCAAGTACAAAAATGAAAAGGAAACTGCGACCTATACTCAGGAAAAATGAAATGGGGACTTCAGAGGGTCACAGAGCAATGAAGAGTTTGGTGTGTTTGGGGCAGATCATGGACAGATGTTTTCTTTTGTTTGGGTCCCAGACCGTGAGAAAGAAAATTTGTTTCAGGAAATGACAAGAAAAGCCATGCAGGTGGCACGGTGAACCCGGGCGAGGAGTAAGAAGAGTCCAGATGCCCTGGCCAGCAGCACCCGCCCGGGGGGTCTGCTGGGGCTGTGCGCACTCGTGCAGGTGGGTGTCCACGCCGCATGCACAGGCTCTACTGCCACATGTGGGGATGTGGCTTTCTTTTTAAAGGGAGAGGACTCTGGGAGGAGCCACCAGTTGTAGCAAGGGTTCAAGCGGGGGTGGGGGGAGAGGTGACTTTGGCCGCCTACAGTACAGAGCTGTTCTCAGAATGGACACGGGCTTTGCCATCTCTCCCAGGGGATCTTAGGGGTCATCTCCACTCAGAACAGTGAAATGGCAGCAATGACAGCGGGAAGGACAGCATGGAAGAATGGCATTCACGGAGCTCGGCTGACTGCCAGGACTGCCACACGCCTTCCCCAGGGACAGCTCCCCTCCCTGCCCCTCGGGATGGGGAGGAGTCCACCTTCCTCCGAGGCTGGCTTCGGGAGCGGGGCACTCCATCCCTCTGCTCTTCTTCCCGCTCTATGGCAGCAGGGGCCTCCTGGGCAGAGGGCCGTCCAGCCGGGATACTCACGGTTGGAGGTGAGTCTGTCTGCTCCCCCGAGAGCGTTGAAAGCTCCGTGGACATTCTGGACCTATGGAGGAGCACAGCGAGGGATGTCCCTGGGAGGCCGCCACCCCAGGCCTGGCCTGGCTGTCGAGGCCTGGCTGGGAGCCACCTGGGATCTCACTCATGTACAGGGGATCAGCTTAGTTTGCCTCACAGGGAGGCTGTGGGGAGCAGTGGAGAGCGTGGGCTGGGTTCACAGTAGGCAAAAGCCAGCTTCCCATCCGGAGGACCTAATATGAGCCACTGTTTGGCAACTTTGTATCCTCTCATTTAAGATCCTTAAAGCTGTTGCATTGGGCTCATTTTACAGAAGAGCAAACCAAGGATTGGAAAGGCATCCAGCAACTGACAGTAGTTGAGCCAGAGCCTAAATTCAAATCTGTCTGACTGCAAGCTGAGCTCTCTGCAATGAAGCCACACAGAAAACTCAGACACCCAATACCGAGTGCTCCAGACCTCTGAAAGGCCCCAGAAGAGCCCAGGTGGGGGTTCCCCAGAGCAGTGGCCTCCTACCAGTTCAGCTGCAGAGAACTTCCTGTGATAGCTGGCCAAGCCATGCCTCCCGGCAGGGGCTGCCACAAAATGGGGTAACAGCCACATGCTATCTCTTCTCAGAGGGTGATGGGGAAACCACGTTAGCCTCAACGAGTGTCTAAAGCAGGACCAGGGCACACCCAGCATGTGAAATACACCACCACGGGCCATGTTATCAGGGGCTCCCGAGCCAAACAGCTGGGAGGGCTACATGGAGGAAGCAACACCAACACCAAGATCTGGAGGAAAGATGAAGTGAATCAGTCAAGTCTGTGCAAATGCTCTGTGGCCCAAGGAGGAAGAGGCTGATTTGGCGCGCAGGGGAGATCAGGCCAGGCTCCTGCAGAAAGGGCCAGTGTGTGATGGCGGGTGGGACAACCCAACCCCACACGCTGACCCCCAGGGGTCTGCTGAGCCCTCCACAGAACTGCACATTTTCAACAGTCGGGGAGCGGGCAAGGGTGGGCCAGAAAGTCTGTCCATTTGAGGCCTGGGGACCGGAATCTGAAATCCTGGTTTCTAACCCATGAGGACGGCGGTGATGAAGACAAGGGTGCTAGAATGTTCCCTTCTGTGGTTGTGGATTGTGGTTTTGATCTCATGCTCATTTCTATAGCTAGATTAAAGCTCAATAAATATTTCTTTAAAAGTGTTTTGTTTTGTTTTTCCCGTTACTGGGGATTGGACCTAGAGGCACTCTACCACTGAGTTACATTCTCAGCTCTTTTCTTATTTTTATTGAGATGAGATCTTGCTAAGTCACTAAGCTGCTCAGGCAGCTCAAATTTGGAATAATACTCCTGCCTCAGTTTCCCAGAGTGGTGTGATCACAGGTATGTGTCACCACGCATGGTTGATCAATGTTTCTTGAAGGGACAAGTGGATAAGGGATGGGCCCTAAAGTTAAATTTTGTGTTTAAAATAAAATGACTGAGCATAGGGCAGCCCATTCTTCTGTTCTGCCACTGTGGCATACCACAGATAACTATAGCCATGCGCTCAGGGAAAAACAAGAAAATGAGTCGCATGAGAGCCTCAAATGGGTGACCTCTCCAGAATGCATCTCCCTGTGCCCAGGGGAGACAGGTGGCACCCAGTGACAGACAGAGCACCTGTATATTCACTGCCAGCCGGGTCACCCTGAGTGCTCCCTGCTCACCTGTAGTGTGTCCCCAAAGGAGAGCTTGTGGATGACGTGTGTCATGTCCGGGTTCTGTGGCTGGGCTGTGGCGCTGTGTGTGGACACATGGAAATTGCCAGGGACCTGGGGAGAAACACAGGTTTCAGGAATCTGGTTGACTGCCTCAGGAGACGGAATGCAGGGGCTGTGTGATCCAGGCCAGAGTGGGCAGTGGGGTCACACAGACCTGAGTCTGGATGCTGGCCAGTATCACTGCCAACCGTGTGACTCTGAAGGAGTCACTGTGCCTCTCGGAGCCTCGGGCCCCTCACTTGTAGATTGAAGGCACTAATGGCTACTTGAGGAGGGAGCTGGGACAACTTGGTAGGCAAATGCACCCCGTGGATGAGAGGCTCAAAGCCAGGAAGTGAAATGGCAGCTGGTCCCTGTCCATCTCCATAGACTCTGGGCCACAGCCCCACAGCGGGTTGGTGAACTCAGCCTGCAGACCACCCCTGCTTCCTTGAGTTTCAAACCACAATCGCCACTTATCCAAGACAACCCATTATCCTGGACAGACTGTCAGAGCCTCAGTTCCTCCCTGGGGCTCGCAGCCCTTACACGGCCTGACAAGCGCTGCATCACATCCACTTGTATCTGTTCCCCTCCACGCCAGCAGCTGGCCACTTGGATGGAGAGTGCCGATGATAACCACGGGCCAAGAGCCTCTCCTCTCACCACCCCAGCCAGATCTCTTCTCCCCACTCTTCCCGTCTCAGCCGCTTAGACTAAAGTCCTGTTGTCATCCTGGAACCCTCATTTTCTCTTATCCCACGTCAGGAAACCCTGTCAGTCACACCTTCAAATCACACCCAGCATCTGACCCTGCTGAGGCCAACTGCTGCGCTGGTCCAAGCTCGCTGGACAGACAACAGCAGATTCCTTTCTGGGTGCCCCTCTCCTGCCCTTTCCCTCCCTCATGCAGGAATTTCCTCAATAGAGATGGGAGAGGTCGCTTTAGACCCTTTGTATGATCTCAACAGGACCTTGGATCCAAACTCTCTAATGATCCTATTTCTCAGCCTCCTATAGTTTGGGTGTAGTTTGTCCCTCGAGGTTTCATATATTGGAGGCTTGTTCCCCTCAGTGGCAGGTAATAGACGCTGGGATCACTTAAGAAACAGGGCCTGGGGGAGGGTTCTTAGGTCATTGAAGGGCTTTGCCCTTGGAAGGGATTACGGTTGTTCTCATGGGATCCTGGTTAGCTCTTAAAGGAGGGTTATAAAAGGAGCAAGACCAGCCTTCCCCCTATTCTCTTTCTACCTGTCTCACTGAGTGATCCTTCCTGTGTGTCAGCCCAATGCAAAACTGAACTAACCAAGGGACTGCCTGATGCAAAACAAAGCTAATAAACCTACTTTCCTTTATACATTAACCACTGTAGACATGGAAAAGCTGACTACTGCAGAGTCAAAGTCCATATCCTCGTGTGTTGTTGCCTGGCCACTGCACGCACCTGCCCCATGCTCTCTGCCTCCTGTCCTACTGTTCTCACTACTCACACTGGCCTGGTCACTGTGCTGGGAGTGCTGTACGGCACAATTCCACCTAGACCCTTGGACTGCCACCCCTTGCCGGAAGCCCCTGCCTATGGCCTTCCCTCAACTCCCTTAGTTTCTGCTCAGGACATCTCAGAGAGAGGCTCTCTCCATCTGCCTGTCTGAAGGGCACCTGTACCCCCTCCACACACAGGTGCAAAAGTACTGCTCACCACCCACTGCCATCACCTTATACTTACCTTGTTCTCTTCTCTGTCCTACTAGAAGGTAAGCTCCCTGCTCTCTACTGTACTCCCCAGACCCTGATTCATAACAGGTGCTCAGCAAATATTTCCTGAATGAATGGAGCGCATCCAATCCTTTGAGTCTGGAACTTGATCATCTCCATGGTACAGAATAGGAAACTTGCTGGGCGTGGTGGCACATGCCTGTAATCCCAGCACTGGGGAGGCTGAGGCAGGAGTATCGCTGTGAGTTCAAGACCAGCCTGGGCTACCTAGTGAGTTCCAGGTCAGTCTCAACTACATAGTGAGACCCTGTCTCAAAAACCAAATAAACAAAACAAAACAGAATAGGAAACTGAGGCTCATCGTAGGGGAGAATCTTGCTAAGGTCTTGCTAAACTGCAGTTTGAACTCTTGCATGTGCTCCTCCCTCCCACCAATGCCCCTTAATCTCAGTGCCCTGGGTTCATGGTCACATGAAGCCAGTCCTGCAGGAGGTGCAGACCTGGGGAGAGGACCCAGACAGTCAGGCCTGGCCAAGTCACTGGCTCGCTGTGACACAGACTTAGAACACAGAATGAGACCTGAGGGATGCACACTGGCCCAGAGGGCTGCGTAGATCATGGGGGTTAGGAGAAGGGTCCCCAGCTTTATTGGGGGTGCATGTTTCTCCCAAGAATACCCTGGTGCCAAGGCCCTGAGGATGAGTCTGTGTGACTCAGGAAGACAGGGGAAGGCATCTGGGCAGAGTTTGGAATTATTGAACCCTGAATAAAGAAGGGTCTGGGGGATCGCAATAGAAGGAAATGAAGCACAAGAGGGAGGTGGGGCCATTCATCAAAATCCCAGTTGCCACGCTGTAAAGCTCAGAGTTTATCATGTTCCAGCTCATCAGAGTCACCGAGCTGCACTGGAGAAAGGACTACGGCACACAGCCTAGCACGTGGCCATCCCCAAAGTCTGCTGATCTTGTTGGCAAGTCTGCTTCCATCCCAAAGCCATAGGCTTCCGAGGCAACCTAAGCTGACAGGCCAAGGGCTTCGGATTAGCAAGCCACTGTCCAGTGTGCCATGGATGGAGTGGAGGGGCTCTTCACCAGCCTAGGGTGCAGCATGAAGGACAGCACAGCGAAGATGTCCCTCGAGGGAGGACAAGGCCCACTTCTGGGACCGGATAACCCACGAAAGAGCAGTGACTCTGAGCTCCATGCTGTTCTCAAAACCAGTCCCACTCGGGGCTAGGAGGCTTTAGGGACAGTGGCTACTCTGTGCCTGTCCTCCATCACACAGGGTGCTGTGGGGAGATGGAAAGAAGTGGTGCATGCAAAGCAGGTGGCAGCTCTTGGGGCAGGCTTGTGGGATGAGACATCTGTCATCAGCCAGCAGAGAAGGGCCTTTCAGGCAGAGGAACAGCAGGTCCACAGACAAGGCAAGAGGAAAGGCTCTCTGCATTTAGAGTTTTCTTTAAATTCCGTTTTCAAGGCTGAGAGTACAGCTCGGCGGAAGTCTGGCTTAGCACACAGGAGGCCCTGGGTTTCCCAGCACAAGAAAACAAAACATAAAATATTCCATTTTCACTGCTACAAATAATATCGGGATAATTTTCATTATAAAACCTTCCCGTGACACAGGCAGCACTCCTGGAAGTAAGGACCTCACGGCCACCTGGCATGTGTGTCCAGCTAGTTTTTTGCTCCAGTGGCTGGGAACCCCTGTGGAACAGCCCCAGGCACAGTTCAGAATCAGGTTTGGGGCCTGGGCCACACTCAGGAGTTACGTGAGCTGAGCAGGCTGGCTCCCCAGCACCTGCCACCTGCGGCCATGCCGCAGGGCCATGACTCACCCACTCCCGCTCCACTCTACTCTGAATCCATCTCCAGGGGCTGACTCATGTGTGCACACGCTGGGTTGAAGAAAAACAATGACGACACTTTTAACGCCTATGACTGAGGAACCTACGTCAGCGCCTCTGATGGATTTTAAAAATATATAGCTGGAGCCGGGCTTCCTCCCCGTGCCTTTCACCCTCCTCCTGAGGGGCCGGGCAATTGAGGTCGCCATGCAGTCTGTCTGGGAAGCTGAAACACGTGAACCCTGACATCTGGCTGTAGCTCGGCCTTCTGACGGGCACATACAGGGGCCACAGGACACGACTACTCCTGATGCTGGGGGCTACGGAGTGCAGCTGCTGTCTTGGTCATCCCGGGACACTGAAACCACTGACATCCTTGTCCAAGCGGGTGGCTCCCAAAAGCCAGGGGGCCCTAACAAGGGAGAGCGGGCAGGGGGTTCCATGCTTCCGCAGGGGTTGGGCAGAGGAGACCTGGAACACGTGCACCCTGGTCACTGTGAAAGAGACACTGAAAAAAGTAGCCAGACCACCTAATGACAGCCACATGCAACTACTGAGCACTTGAAATCTGGCTAGTGAGACAGGGACCTGTGATTTGATTTTTAAGTAAGTTTCAGTCACCTTACATGGCTATTTATTGGCTAGCATGGTTCTGAAGCATAGATCTAATCATATTACTTCCCTGCTTAAAACCCTCAGACAGCTTCCCAAATCCAAATCAGGGACACAACAAGGATTCTGTGTGGTGGCTGAGCTGCAGCAGAAAAAGTCCTGGGATCGACTCCTCCCACCATCCCCACTCATGGACTGTCCTCTACTCCACTCCCCAACCTGGCCTGGCGAGGGTGTGACTCATAAAAAAGTTTAATCCATAAAATGCAGAATAAATGACATTTTCTCCACTCACTCCACTCAAAATCTAAGAGGGCTGGATGTGATGGTGCACACCTGTAACCCTAGCACTCAGAAGGCTGAGGCAGGAGGGTCACCATGAGTTTGAGGTTAGCCTGGACTACATAGTGAGTTCAAGGCCAGCCTGGACTACATAGGAGACCCTGTCTCAAAAAACAACAAACAAACAAACCAAGGCTCTGTGCCTTCTGCTTTAGCATTCAGCGAATGCTGAGCTCATGAAAGATAAGTTCCAGCCTTCCAGGAACCAATCAGGGATCATGGGAAGTGGCCACACACTGCTCCTTCTGCCAGGTTGTTGTTACAAATGGGGACTCAGGTCTGGTGTGGCTTGGACCTCTGACTTTTGAGAGCCAGAAAGGTGGACTATGATCTTCTAATGCTAGCTCTGATGTGTTTAAATGCTGGCCAGGACAAATACAGCCAGCCCGTCTTTGGGCCAGATGTGGCCAGGGAGTTTGCAACCTGGGTTCAGGTAAAAGGGTTGGGGAAGGGTGTTCTAAGCAAAGGCTGAAAGGGGGCAAAGCAAAAGCCAGGAGCAGCCGTTGGCTCATCTGGCTGGGACCTCAGGACAAGGTACTTATCTTATACTTAACTTTTTAAAGATGGAGCTGTCCACTGTGCTGATACTGAGACGCGCGGAGCACAGGCATGTGCCTACTGACCCTGCTGTGCTTCACCAGGCTCCCCCGCCCCCCACACCGACTTAGGGCCTAGGTTCTGGTCCTAGGGCAAAGAAACAACAGCGATACCTGAGTGGTCCTTTGGTGCTGACAAGAAGGCACCTTTTAACCCACGTCTCCCCGACTTTACTCCTCCTCCCAACACTTGGCACCTGCTGCAATGCTTTTTCATTTGTAGACTGCTTGTCTCCTTCCACTGGAACATGAGATCTACCAGCCTAGGAACTTCGCCCATTGGTTCATTGCAATGACTCTGAGCCCAGAACCATCCCTGAACATAGAAGGTGCTCAACAGAACTTTTTGTGTGAATGAATGCCGATTTCATCCTCCCACAACTGTGAAGCGGATGGCATCGCTATCAGTAGCACCATCACAGTCACCTTAAAGATGTAAAAATCTGGGTCCAGTGACCTGCTGGACATTGCTTAGTTAAGAGGAACAATAGGGCTCCAGGCTACAAAAACTAAGTGCGTCTTACACCCTGTCCCCCTCATCGGGAAGAGTAGTCCCCTTCAGAACAGCGACAGGGGCTTAAAACCTCAGGGAGCACAAACCCCACCCCAATTCTCAGCAGGAACTGCCAGGCGTGGGACACTGGCCATCAGCCTGCTGGGGGCTCTGCTGGGGTCAGGAGGAGGGACACTCAGCCCCACCAACAGGTGTCCAGGGAAGGGGGAACAGGGCAATGGGGCTTGGGCACAGTCTCCATACCTTATTGATGCTGAACTGGCCCTCGAAGCGGCAGCCCACACCGTTGTTCAGAGGGATCTTCATGGAGTTGTCGATGTGGCCCACCTCGTGCCTGCCCATCTCATCCTGGATGTCGAGCCCAACCACTGCGGGGGCCAAGGGGAGCGGAGTTACCCCAACCCGAGATGGAGCCCTCGTTCACCCAGGCCTCGCACATGCTGGCCCTCTGCCCCCCAGCTTACAGCCTGGGGTCTCAGACCACAGAGGGAGTCAGCAGAGAGAGGAGGAACTGGGTGCTTGGCCAAGAGGAAGCAACACCCAAAACCTTCCCACCCCATTCCTAGAACAGCCACAGTGCCGGCGATGGTTAACACTGACTGTCAGCTTGCTGGGCTTGAGAGAGGCCTACATTAGTAAAGCACGCTCTGGGTGTCTGCCTGGGTCAGGGGGTAGTGACCCTGGGGGCTGTATCTGGCTCCAGCCCCCTCCTCTCTGCTGTCCCCCTGCTCTGCATCCTGGTTGCCACGAGTGAGCAGCTTTGCTCTGCTGCGCCCTCTGCATGATTTTTTTAAAATCCTTGTATTATGATTGGTTTCTTTTCTTATTTATTTATTTATTTATTTTTTGGTACCAGGGATTGAACTCGGGTCCTTGCACTTGCAAGGCAGGCCACCAAACCGCTGAGCTAAATCCCCAGCCCTCTTTTCTTTTTTTAAACAAAAACATTTATTGGTACATTTTGGATATACACAATGATAACATTCATCATAGGGAATTTGTACCTGTACATGATAGAGCTTGCTTCTTTTTTTTCCATTCTCTTCCCCTCCCTTTGACCCCAGTTCCTCTCCTGATTTACAAAGGCTTTGTTCCCACTTTTTCTTTGGTCTTTTTTTTCCTTGTCTCTTCTTTCCTTTCCCCCTCTCCCTTATTCCCCTTCTCATTTGAACATTTTCTTCCTATTTCCCAATATCTATTACACATTTTGGTTCTTACTTCCACTTTTGGTTTCTCCCACCAGAGACACAATGCAGTATTTTAAAAGTGTATCCAATTTATCTCACCTAAGAGTATTCACTGATTTTACCTAGAAATGTCTCAGGTTTATCCTTCTTTATGCCATGACATTTCTGCCTTGGAGCCAAATGACCATGGACTGAAATAATCTTTCTTAAATCTTGTGTTAGATATTTTGTCCCAGCAATGGAAAAGTAATACAAAGCCTGTGCAGTTGACTGTTGCCGGAGAAGGGCAGAAAGGGATGTGGGAGAAGCAACAGCTGATGGGGTGAGGGACTGAGGACGCAGGGTGCAGGGTGGTGACAGCTCATGGGGAGACTGAGGCAGGCAGTTGATGGTAGGGGCTAAGAGGAAGCACCAGGTCTGCCCCTGGTTGTCTACATCTTGGCTTTGCACTTGCTATCTTGGCAAGTGCTCATCGACTCATCAACTCATTGGCTCAGACACTCATTAACTTCTAGATGCCTCAGTTTATTTCTTAGTAAAATGAGGGTGGTAATATTTGAAGCTTCCATGGTAGATTAAAAAGATCAAATCATAGGTATAAAAAATGCTTAGAACAGAGTTTAATGGGCAGTAAATGGAAAGCACTGAATCAATGTTAGCACTTATTGGTTCTCAGATTCTGGGTTCATTGAGTGGATGGGTTCAGGCAGACATTCATTCATTCACAACTTCTTTTACCTGGTGTCTATTCCTGGCAGGTGCTAAGCACTTACCTAACTACCAGGGATACACAAAGGTGAAAACCAGGCCCAGCCCCAAGAGCCTCGGTGCTTTTTCTAGGTTCCTCAGCACACCAAAAGGAACCCTATGGCCTGCTGTCCTGGTCCCAACTTCAGTAGGACTCTCCCTTCACTGGGACTTGGCTTCTCATCTGTAACATGGGCACTGCCTACCACATTCCCTGAGATGATCCAGGTGCCAAGCAGGGAGGAAAGCTCTGTAAACTAGGAAAATGCTGAGTGCTAAAAAGGAGGTTATAATACAGAGAAACAATGGCTAGAAGTGATTTTAATGTGAGCCAGCTATAAAAGGGAAAGTGGGTGCAATCCGTGCTCCTCAGTGGGAGTGGGGAAGCATGCAAGGCCCGTCCGTAGAAGGGGCTGTGATGCAGCCATGGCAGATGAGGGCACGGGTCTGCAGAAGCTGGGAAATAAGGTCATGCTCTAAGGCTAAGGTCAAAAGAAACACCAGCAGGGCCCCATTTGACTCTCAGTTCTACCAGGACTTGCCTGCAGATGCACACGCACGTCTAGACATACACGCTAGGCTGCTCCTGCAGCCCTATGCGAAAACAGGACAACTGGATGCAATCCAATGGTCTGTCGTCAGTCAATGGCCTGGAATAGCTCCCCTCTCTGATGCGGTGCAGCCAGTAGAGAATGTGCCAACTTGGTATGCATGAAATGGAGGCTCAGAGCAGGCAGCAGTGAACTGCCTAGCAGTTCCCTAACCTCTCTGGGCCTCCTCTGGGTCTTCTTCTGTCAGACTCCTTGTGAGGATCAAAGAAACTTAAAACAGCACTTCCTATACGCTGTGTGCTCTACTATGTTCTGTCGCATGAGAACACACCATCTGATCATCCTGGTAGGGAAGATAATGGCATCAGCCCCAGCTGACATGTGGGGAAGTTGAGGCACAGGGATCTCACAGCTGAGAAACACTGGACTGCTATGAGGGAGTCTTGCTCCAGCGCCCCCACCCTTCAGCCACTCTGCTAGACACCTCTCCCCTTAATACATCAATGAGGCAAGGATGCAGGACAGGCCTGGTCAGGAGAGGGGATGAGCCAATGGCTCTCTCTCTATCTCTACACACACACACACACACACACACACACACACACACACACACACAAACACAGTCTTTCTTTCATATATATATGAAAGAAAAAGCCAAACATGATACAGTTGTCCCTCAGTATCCATACCTATAGGGATACCAGAATGAGGGATGCTCAGGTGCCCTCTAGAAATGCTGTAGCATAACCCAATAACCCATGAACGTCCCCCAGTGTGCTTAGACATCTCTAAAGACTTAATACACGACAGAATGCAAATGCCACATGAACAGCTGCTACAGTTTGGATAGTAAAGGCCTAGTTGATGAAGGCTTGTTCCCTGGCTGGGTGCTGCTGGGAAGGGTGGAGCCTTCAGGAGCTGGAGCCTCAGTGGTCTTCTGGCCCCTGGGGTGCCCCTGAAGGCACTGGGCTTCCCGTCTCTTGCTTCTCTGGTGTGGCAAGCAGCTGCACTCCACCATGTTGTGTTGCCACAGGCCCTAAGCAACGGGCCAATTAGTCATGGCTTGGAATCTTCAAAACTGTGAGCCCAAATAAAACTTTTCACTTTCTATATTCATTATCTCAAGGAACAGAAAGCCAACACTGATAGTTTCTATGCTGTATCATTTAGGGAATAATGATAAGAAAGAAAATTCTGTTCATGTTTGGTACAGATGCAGTTTTTTTTTCTGAATATTTTTGATCTGCAGCTGGGGAAAAGCTCCCACCCCTATTGTTAGCAGGGGCCTCTCCAGGGGAGGGTGGCACACTGGGGAGTAATGAAAGGGAACAGAAAAGGAGTATCTGGGGCCAGGGATTTAGCTCAGTGGCACCGTGTCTGCCTGGCAAACGCAAGGTCCTGAGTTCCATCCCTGGTACCAAAAATAAAAAATAAAAAAAGGAGTATCTTTATTTTTTGTGTATGTTTTGAATCAGTCCTTCCTACACTGAAGATTGAACCCAGAGCTATATCCCCAGCTGCTTTGTGCTTTATTTTGAAACAGTCTCCCTAAGTCACTGAGTTGCCCGGGGTAGGCTTGAACTTGTGATCTTCCTCCTGTAGCCTCCCAAAGTGCTGGGATTAAGGGCATACACCACCATGCCTGGCCACACATTTTTTAAAAAATTCCTATATTAGCTTATTAATTTTGTAATAAAGAATAGTATTTTTAAAAGTATGAGACTATACATGTAGCACGATCTCAGCCATGTTCAAAGATGCACAAAAGGGAGGGCCAACTGGTCAACTTGCCAACAGACACTGTCACCATCAGTGGAATTGTGGGTACTTCTCTGGATTTTCTGAGGTACAATGACAAGTATGCATTTTTGTCTATGATAAAAATGTGAAGTTTATTTTTTTGGTACTTGGGGTTGAACCCGAGACCTTGTACATGCTAGGCAAGTGCTTTACCACTGAGCTACCCTGAGGGTCTTCTAAAAAGAGGTACGGTGCTGGGGTCAGCTGCCCAGCATAGGTTGCAGTGTATCCTGCAGAGCTCGCAGAGCCTGCTGGAGGGCAGGGCAGGGGGCCCACGCAGCCAGCAGCCTGAGGACTCCTGGCCCTGGTCCAGGCCATTACCTGGAGCCACCCCTTTCCTTTCCTACTGTGTTGGTCCCAGTCCCCAGGCCTAAGAATTTCCTTGTTCCAGAGACACAATCAGCTCCTGCAGGAGAAGCTGCCAAATGAACTATTTTCCAAACAGGAAGAAAGCATTTAAAAAAAATAAAAATAAATAAAGCTGACCTATTTCAACAGATTCCCTGGCTTAGGGCCTGCAGTGGTTCAAAACTGTGCCGTCATTCTCATCAGAATCAGTATCAGGGCTGAATGTCTCCTTATCACTGGCTGGAGGCCCACCCAGTGTCCTGCCCTTGGCTGTGTCCCTTAACAGGAAGGGAGGGAGAGGGAAGAGGAGAGGAGGCTGCACCAGGTTGAGTGCTAGGCAGGGAAGAGAGAAGGCTGGGACCCCCAGGCCCAGAGTGCACTCCAACAGGTCAAGGAACCATCCCATCAGATCCTCCCAACAATCTCAGGCAAAAACCCCTCCTATACTAATCTCATTTTGCAGAGGACAAAACTGAAGTCATCTCAGCAGAAGCCCCAGTTTTTGTAAGCGAAAGAGCCAGGATCTGACTTCAAATCAGACTGATTGTGAATTATTTTGTAGAAGTAATTTATTGACTTGATTAAAATAAATAAAAATAGAGTCGACTTAAAAAGGAAGTCTCCTGATGCTTCCCTGGAATAGACGTTGTTGGAGCCCTTTCACGGGTAGTGGTCTGGCCCAGCTTTGGCAGGTGTGTAGCCGGGGCCTGCTCTAGACCAGTGCTTGGGGCTAGCTAGATGCCTCCTTGCTTGACTGTCTGGGAGGTCACGTGACTGCCGCTGTTTCCATGCACACAACTATGCAGCCATTTGCCAATGGTAAGGACGTTAACAGCCCAGTCCCAACACTACCAGGTGGGAAAAACTCTATTGTGTCATTCACATAGCTTCCTGTGAAGTCAGGCTGAAACTGGACTTCAGCTAAGCATTCACCTTGGCTCATCTTTTTGTCCTGCATCCCTTCTTCCCTTACTGCTTCCTCCTCTCAACGGGCCAGGTGCAAAAGAATCTCCAGTTCTGCTTCTAAGAAACAGGACTCAAGAGGCTCCACTTCCCTGCACCAGTGTGGCTGCTCTGTACTAAGTAGTGTGTGCATGTGTGCATGTGTGCGTGCACTAGCTACTCCAGAAAACCGCTGAAGAACGGGGGCGCAGCACATGCTCTCCTCTGTTGGCCATTCACTCTGCTTATCCTGGGTCTTGTTATGGCTGCATACACAGATCTGTCCCAAGGAGGTGCCTTGCTGGAGCAGCAGCTGGAAATACTCACATTCACAGTGCAAATTGGGTAAACTGATGTTCAGACTGACGTCAATTTTGCCCCCGCTGTCTTTATCTGGGTCATCAACGTAGAGCTCGTTCACACTGAGGGAGAGACAAGTACAGAAACCTTTATGGAGATGGAGACACTGATCCTGGCCACAAAGGACAGCCAGGGACCACCTCATTTGCTGGCCACAGCATGGACAGCACAGACCTCCATTTGTAAATCCAGTGCACATTCAGGTCCAGGAGAGCAGGGTTCCCTCCTCCAGCGAACTTTGGAAATGCAAAAAGGGGCCGGGATTTAGCTCAGTGGCGCCTTGCCTGGCTCATAGGCACAAGGTCCTGAGTTTGATCCCCAGTATAAAACAAAAAAAACAAAAAACAAAAAACAGAAAAAAAAAAAAAAAAAAAAAAAAAAAAAAAAACAAAAAA